CTTGAGCAAAAATAAACCTGTGTGGTTCTTCCAGTGTTACCAACACACACACATTAAAAAAAAAATACACATGAAAGGCTAAACAGAGCCCAAGTGAGACCTGTCTTGCCTGACCTTGTGAAAGCCTCACCATTTCACAGCAAGTTGTGCTGACCTAATTACTGAGGAAAAATAAATACACTGTATTGATAGGTATATACAGGTATGTTTCCCAGGTATTATTTGGGGAGAGATAAATTCTTATCTATCTAACTAATGAGTAAATTCATCTGCCTAAGTATTTTCATTCAGGTCTGCCAGGACATCTCCTGAGAAATATAATCTAATATTCACCTGATAATTGCATTCTACTTTGATGTTATAGTCTGTTCCTTCATATATTGCTTATAATGATGTTTTAAAGTCTTAGAACAGAGAACACTTCACAGTTTATTTAAAGTAGATAGTCTGCCTTAATGAAAGGAAAAAGCGAAACACTTTCATATCTTATTTTTAACAAAATCAATAGCAATTGCAATGACTGAGTTTGACTCTGAAAGCCAGAAATACAAGATATTAGTATAGATAACATTTGTAGCAACAGTTAATGCGAAGCCTTTACCGTCTGCTGTCAAGAAATTTCCTTTAGCTTGTATTGTGGGTATTGTCACATAAGTATGTGCTCACAGGGAAAAACTGCATCTTCCTGCATGGGTGTTGCACGCAAAATGTCAAAGGCTCAAAACAGGCTCTAAATTTGAGCAATGAAAGATGCTTCTTTTTTTCTACTTTTGGGTAAGTTAAGTTTATTGTGATATAGTAATCTTCAGGGCCACCCAAAATTTTGTAGAAAAGGAAATACAAGAGCGATTATTTTTTCTCTCGCCTCTGCTTGCAATGTCTTTCAACAAAAGGAGACGCTAATGGTATAATTTTCCCAAAAATGCACATCCTTCATTATTACCATTTTACCTCTCTTTCTCATGCAAGGGTCTCTCTCTCTCTCTCTCTCTCCCTCTCTCTCTCATACACACACAGAGCAAATTGATATTAGTAGAATATAGATATGAAAAATGCCAAATACTCTGAATTAGTGTATCAGAAAGAAATTTAAATCATATAGTTTAGACTGAAAAACTATGAGTGCTTTTGATAAAGTTTTGTTCTGTATTTCATTAGGTTCAAGACCACTCTAAGCTCCCTAGACACCTTCAGTACATGTAGCCCCTCTGCCCCTCCTTTTGGGGCCTCTCTGTTCATGGATCTTTGCAATGTGGGCCCTGGGTTTCCTGCCAGTCAAAAACCCCACAACTGAGTAAAACCCATCTTATCATAAAATTGAGTTTGGGTTTTTTTCCTTTCCTCCTTCCTTCTCCTGCTGTTTTCTATCAGCAGAACGCTAATACTAATTGGTTAATCTGTTATTTAGGCAAGTATTAATATTCTCGTTTTGCAGGCAAGGAATCGGGCTTCCTGCTGCGTATCCCCTGGCCCTGGGTAAGGAGCTCTTCAGATGGGAGATTCAAAGTAGGTGAGGTTGGCCTCCTGAGACCTCTGCTGCTTGCCGGAAGCCTCCAGGAGGGTTGAGCTGGGCCTCCTTAGATCGCCGAGTTCCTGGCTCCCAGTTCTCCACTCAGACCACCAGGCGACACCGCCTCTAATGACAAAAATCCATTTTCCCATTCCACCCCAACGAATGCTCCAAGGACTTTCTTAATTGCGACTGCTACCCTGGGAACAGGAAGCTTATTTGTAACTTGATGAATCTCCACAAGGCTTGCCTGGGTTTCTAGGTTTTGCAGCACTAAAAAACTTTACAGTAACTTTGTGTGAAAAGTATCTGAAGGTCTCCCTATCTACAGAACAAAGAGATAAAACGGTGCTCAGTAGAAACTCAGGAAAATACATGAATCCAGAGAGGTTGGTAAATTCTGCCTAGAGAGAAGTGCTCTGCATGAAGGACCTGGCCACTGCTCCGGAGTGGAGGGTGCACAAAACAAAACACACAGGACAACCTAAGAACTGTATCATCCTAGGGTACATTCCTGTGTGAAAGATGCTCAAACAGGTTTTCAATGTAAAGTCCGTTTCATACTCATGAATTCTGACCTATTTTGTGTAAAAGTTGTTCTTAAAAAAAAAAAAAAATATGTTGGCCTGGAGAGATGGCTCAGCCAGTAAAGGCTAGGCTCACAAGCAAAAAGTGTAACTTTCCACATAAATAGAGACTTGAAGATAATTGTTTCCATGCCAAAAGGCTAAGTTTTAATTGGGATTTTTTTTTTTAAATGGGAAAAGACTAGTATCTGGCCCGTACATCTTATCAGACTCAGGGAGACTTAGAAGTCCCAATAATTCACAAATCCACACTAAAAACTTTAACAGTAAACTTCAAGTCACAAAATAAGACCCAATTTCATCTATTTTCATTTTGAATTAAATGTCATTTCTATTCTGTGAATGAATTAGTCTCGGACTCTGTGTACTCTTTTTGTCCTTATGCAAAACATCTGAGCAGAGTGTGGCCTGAGTCTACCCACATCTCTAAGTAGGCCTGTATTCTACTGAGTCTTAGGTTCCCCAAAAGTCTATAATGATAAGGACCCCATGGTATGAAGTGCCCATGTATAGCACAGGTTGTAACCCGAGAATTCAGTAAAACTTGACAGATTTCCCATAGTACCAATTCAGTATCTAACACAGAGAATCCAAGTCAGGATGTGTCTCTGACTGTTTAGGAGCCACCACCTTAAAAACTCAAAAGGTGGGCTGGAGAGATGGCTCCATGGTCAAGAGCATTGACTGCACTTCCAGAGGACTCGAGCCCAATTCCCAGCAACTACATGGCATTCACAACTGTCTATAACTCCAGTTCCAAGGAACCTAACTCCCATGGCAAAAAAAAAAAAAAAAAAAAAAAAAAAAAAAAGCATGTAAAATAATTTTTAAAAACCCCACAAAATAAAAACCTTAAGAGACCTTTCTCTAAGCTTGACATGTAATCTGTTTGTTGATGTTTGAATGAGTGCCTTGGGACACAGCAGAAGTAAAGCAAGCCTGAATGGACAGATCAAATACATACCTAACAGAACACAAGACCCAGTACATATCCTTTGATCCAAATAAACAATTTTGGGAGGGGGGCTGTTGCTGGGATTTCATTTGTGCAAAAAAACTAGCAATTACCCAGTTTCTTGTCCATTACTTCCCCCTTGAAATAGGAAGGCTTATGAAAATAAAAAGGGGAAGAGACAGCTGGCTCTAGTGCCTATCTCCCAAACACTCAGTCCTTCCAGAAGCTTGTTCGGTTAAATTTTAGTGTAAAATCATCAGTATTTGTAAGAATGTTTATAAGTTGAATGCATTTAATTGTACAAGATTCAAAATTCCTTGTGGTCCTTATTGTATCTCTTGAAAAAGAACTAAATGTACTTTGCAGATGTTAGCTCATTAATCTATCCCAAATCCCCGTGAGCCAGGTAGCATAAGTATGCTTAACCCAGTTTTCCAGATCAGGAAATAGGCAGAGTAGTGAGAAATGACTAAGCCAAGGTTATGGAGTGAAAGAACAAGAGAGGAAACAGAAGAACTCTGGTGGTAGCTGTGCTTAGGAGGCCAGGACACCTCCCTCCTGACTTTCCACCCAGGCACCAGGAGAAATGTAACATGTTAGAACAGAAAGTCTACCTCAGCATCCTCACAGGCCAGGCAATTTCAGTGCAGGTAGCACATACATGCTTTTGCAAATGTAAAATGATAAGTCACACTAGTTCGTTCTGTTAAAAAGAATGAGGGAAAAAAAAATAAAGGTTTCTACAGCAAGTGTCTCAGAAGCCAAAATGGATCATACAGGATAAGTGGCAAGAACAGCCTGGACCAGGTTCTTCAAAATCACATCTGAGACAGTGGGCACTGGCTCACCTGCTCCCGCCTCATGTACTGAAATGCACACTTTCTCTTAAGTCACGGTGAGGAAGGGAAGAGGGCTGGCTGCTTGGGATCTTAGCTGCGCTCCTCTCTCAAGAGTGTGCCCGTGGGATTCCCTGGGTTCGAATTATACTTGATCCTATCTGCAAGACTGGGCTCTAAACAACTTCAAAGATACAGTAAAAGGACTTTATTTTTCCTGTTCCTTAGATTATTTTTTCATCAGTTTCACAACAAAAACAATGTTGGCCAGATTCAAAGGTGGTGGGAGGGACAGGTGCTTCAGTTTCAGCCTGATGCTCCTGCGGCACAGCTCAGGGATGTGCAGGCTGTGTCGCTGCAGGCTTTTCCTTCTCAGCCTTCATCTCCATCCTGACATTCCCACAGACCCCCGATGAAGCAATGTCTATGTGAATGGAATGCAGCCCCAGGATGCAACTCACCATAAACTTGGATTCTACAAATCTGATACAACATGGCTTTTTACATTCAAAAATCAGTCTTCATGATGTAGAGTTCTTTCCCAGATGTTATTTTGAAAACATTCTTAAAGATTTAGAGATGGGGTGCTTCTCCGGAGTTTTATAATTTTTTTCATCAGAAAGAAACATCAGCATCTCTGACTGGAGGACTGTGCACATATGAAGTTTGGACTCACAGTATTCTCCTGTCAACCTACTGATGTTTGTAAGTATTAACTAACTAAAACAGATGCAGGTAGAATTCTGAGTTATTCTGTTTGATTTTTTTCCTTGTCCATCTCCCCCAATATAATTAAAGACAGAAACTTTCATTTTCTTTATGTCCTGTCCTTGAGTAGGAAAAAACTAAAATACAACTCCAAACTGGTTACAGTATTACAGACACTAGTTACCATCTATGTTCCCAGTGTCGGTGATGTGTTCAACATCAAGTGTAAGTCACACATTTAAGCATGTATGTATGTATGTATGTATGTATGTATGAATGTATACATATACATATATGTGTAAGTCACACATTTAGGCATATATCTATGTATGTATAATACACACACACACACACACACAAAAAGAGAACAACATTTACCTCCCAATATTTCTGTACATACATACCTCAACGATGGCGCCATCTGGGAGCCTCAGAAAATGGCGATATAACTCTTGAAACCCACTGGGATAAACAGTGTATATAGATATGTGGGAAGTAACCCCTCCTGGACGAACTGCAGATGCAGAAATTCCATCCTGATGGTGGTGGTCACTGCTGGAGACCCTGGGCTTGGCGTCATGGCTTTTGCACATGTAATCGTGCAGTGCTACCTAGTGAGACCCAGAGAACCCCCCCAGGTCCCCCCAAGAAAAAAAAAACCAGAAAAATGTAATTAACATTTGGCAAGAAAGTAGCCAATTTGAAATGATCTTACAATAAATCTGAAAGTCTGCTGTCTGCAATGCTTGCACTCCGCTCCATGCTCCATGATCCATGCGCATTTTTATGGCATATATCTAAATAGTGAGACAGACAAATCCCCGGTGTGTGCTCCACAAAGTTAATTCTACACGGATGAAGCTGTAATTGGCTTCTATATTAACCCAAAGCAGGGAGATCAAGCAGCCTGTGCAAATGACAGTGGAGATTGAAAAACAAACCTGTTTACAAATGGTTTTAAGAGTGGGTGTGCTTGGGTTCTCATCCAGAAGAGAGTCTCTCTGTTTCCATTCACCCATGCTGCTGTGTGTATCATGCTTCTCTTGACACTAAGCCAATGGGCCACATACAGCCCGTCGACATCTCCTCCAGCACATGGGGCAAGATTTGTATACTGCACACACTGACCACTAAGCTTCTTCTGGAAGTTCTGAACTTGGCACTTACTGGAATAAGAACCCTTATTTTTAGTAAGGCTTCTCAGGTGACAAGTTCACTGTCTAACGAGACATATCCGTGTATTATATTAGTGTTAAATTAATTGAATTGAATTATGATGCAGTTGAAAAGACCTATCTGCATCAATTGTTTAAAATATTGCCAATGAAAATTTGACTCTACCACCTTAAAAGCTGTGTGTGGCTAACAAAACTTATGGTTTCCTTTTTGTTTTCATTTGTCTTTCTCCTCGATTCCTGAGGTATATGATACTTTCTACAATTTCTCATTTTCTTATTCCAAGATGTCCGTATTTTAAAAACTTGGCCAAGTTTCTAGTGGATTCTCTCTTCACTCGCATTTTTTTCCTTAGATATAAAATGTTTATTTAGTGATCCAGAAACATGAGTCAAATATTAATGCCTCTTAAACATTACCTTACAAATTCTGCAAATCTTCAAGAATTTGGAAAGATTTAATAATATAAAAGAAAATTCTACCCAATGACAGTTAATACAAGTCTGAAGTTGGCAATAAATGCTTAAAATTTTAGCCAGTGAAAACATTTTCCTTTAAAAACAGTTATAATTAAAATCCAGATGGGCAGAAGGAAAAAAATCATAATATGTATATGTGTGTGTGTGTGTGTGTGTGTGTGTGTGTGTGTGTGTATAACCAAATTCCAGAGCATGCCCAGTTTAAGGACACCCTTTAAGAAAGAAAGATGGTAGACACATTTATGGGCATGCTTAGCTGAAGGTCTGAAGGTTATGGACTGCACATTTACAAAGCTAAAGGGGTGAAGAGGAATGTTTCTGGGCATGTGCAGCTTGAGCTATAAGTTGTATCTCACTACAGGAATTGGTCATTAGGGTGCTCACCTCACCTGGTAGTACCAAAAGTTATGGGTCTTAAAGGTGAACTAACTAACTAGCTAACTAAGTTATGGTAGAATCACAAACAGCCAGCCAGCGCATTGGGCCAACTAGAAGAGAGGCTTGCATCCATCTCACCAGAAGTGGACATGTGCCACTGCATTGGGAAAGACAGAATGAACAGATATAGCTATCTATTTCTGAGAGTCAGGAGAGGTGGGATGCTCACTAGACATTGGAATGAGATTTCTAATAAGCAGCCATGTATGGGGAAGGACAATAATCAAATCAGCACTGAGTGTATCTAGAAGAGAAATTTGCTAAACTACATCATAACTATGACCACAGTCATCGTAACAGACATCATAGTATACAATTAATTCTGAATCTGCTGCTAGCCTGGTGATTACATCACACAACTACGTGCTTCCTGTTAGACTTGTGGAGTCTGGGAATGGAGGCTGCAGCAGAACTGAGGTCCTCTGTCTGCCCACACTTTGCACCCAGCTCCAGGCTAGGCTTTCCATAGGTCTCTCCACCCTTTTAGAACTAGCCATTTCTGATGGTTCCCAGAATCTGATAGAAAACGTTTAAATCTTTTTAATTAATTAATTAATTAATTAATTAATTTTGTTTGTCTTTTTGAGACAGAGTTCCTCTGTATTGCTTTGGAGCCTGTCCTGGAACTAGTTCTGAAGAGCAGGCTGGCCTTGAACTCACAGAGATCTGCCTGCCTCTGCCTCCGCCTCCTGAGTGCTGGGAGACAATGCCTGGCTGAAATGTTTAAATCTTATCCATGCAGGAAACAAGAAAAAGGATGAAAGTAGGTTTGCTATATTCTGTAGAACTATAGAATTGCTATACCTCCCACAAAATCATGATGAGATAGAAGTTAATGGATAGCATTTATGACTTTGAAAATGGAGCTTCTGTGTTTTGGCATGTGAAATTAAACATTAAACAAAGTTATGATGCTCTCTTGGATAGCAATTGCTTATTTCAAGATGATGGGAATATATGTAACAGTTACTCTTGTTTGAGAAGCTGATTCCTTCCAAACTGTAAGGATTGTAAAACAGTTTACTGTGGAGAGCACGCACAAACATATATACACTCATACACAGAAGCATTCACACATGTACAAGTGCTTTTGCAAATCCCTTTTTACTTTAGTATGCTTGCCATTTTCCTCTTTATCTTAGAAATGAGAGGGAAGAGTTGACTTCTTCCCAGAGACATCTTTGGCTGACACTGAAATATGTCTAAGGAGCAAGTAGGTAGTAATGATCGGGTTGAATCATAACTCAACATTACTTATTGACAAACCTTAAACACACACGCTAACACATGCACATACACACACATGCATGCACATACATGTGCACACACACATGCACTATATATATGTATATATATATATGTGTGTGTGTGTGTGTATACACACACACACACACACAAAAGGCTGTGCGGTTGGTAGTATTATAGACAAGGCAATTGAGGAATGTTAAGTAACTTGCTCAAAGGCACAGATGTGATATGTTACTGAGGCATTGTCCTCATTCATGCATCTCATACCTCCTTGTGCTTCTGATCTGTCTTCAAGCTTTCCTTGCTCTCTCTGGTGAATCTGACTGAATGTTGAGATCAGCCTGTGTCCTACTCTAAGTTTCCTCATATTGTATTAAACAGGCTTTGGAGGCTGTGCTTTGTTTGCCCTGTGCTTTTGGCTTTACTTTGAGAGAGAAGGATGGCTGCAATCCAGAATCAGCCCTGTCTGTCTAGCACCACCCACACAGTGCAAACTGATAAGTGATTGTTCCTTGGTGGAGATAAGGAGCCACCCTATAAATTTAAAAGGGTGACTTGAGACCATCAGAACACATGGGTGTACTCAAATCATATAAGAAGAGAAACCAGGGCCAAAAATTTATCAGACACAACAGACCAAAGTAGGAATGGATGGAACTCCCTCACCTAGACCATATAAAGGGATCCCCACCTAACACCATGGTGGCATGGCCCTATACCAACCTCTCATCTGATATTTAGTGTTTCTGTGTGTCCACACACATGTGTGCACACAATGAGCTCATCAAAGACAAGCAGAGGATTTTTTTAGCTTCAGTTCAGCTGTTATCCACTGTTGACACAGTCTATTCAACAGCCTTCCTGACCAATGGTTTACCCATCTAGGTCTGAACTTGAACCCTCACTCCCTGTTCTAAAACCCCAAGTCAGCATTTCACCTCATACCTGGAACTCTACAGTGTCACTCTCACTAACCCTGACTTCAGCAGCTCCCTTCCAGCACTGTCCTGATTTCTTATCTCATCAATACAGACTCCCAGCCCCTTTCCGCATCTTTTTAAACTCTGCGGCAACCTCTTTAATTTATATTCCTTCTGTAAATCCTTTAGATGTGTATAGCCAAGTACATGTTTACTGAGTGCTGTGCAATACAAGAGTTAATATTAGTAGTAATGATTGGAACAAAAGAGCCTGCATCCATCGTAGCCAACTTATCAGATATGTGAGGTTAAGTGACATGCTCCTGTCACTACTGCTGCCAGTGCTTATCCTTGTGAATTTATTATCGTTCAATACATTCTGCATTGTGAACAGGCAGGATTATAACACTTGGGGAAGAAGTAGAGTGTCCCTTGCCTGTTCTCACTTATATTTTGGAGTGTGGCTGACCCTAGAACTCTGTCTCCTCTACATGCCTATATTTAGTTTAGCAAGAGCTAAACTGTCATTCTGATGTCCATGGCAAGTCTCCTTTTGACCAAGTTACAAAATAGTGCCCATTTTCTATATAGCTCTCTGTAATGAGGCAGAAACATTACTATCTCCAACAGTTCATATGGTATACAACATACACACCCCCTGAGACTCCAAGCATTAGCATTCAAACTGATATTCAACTCCAGGTATGTCTGGCTGTAAAGCCCATGAACATACTATTACACTGTGATTCAATGCTTGAACACGCCCATGAACATACTGATGTGTTTTTTTCCTTCATATGCAACCACAGGATGAGGACTTGTTTGGACATGATTCTAGATGCTGGAATCTCCTTTCATATGGAACAGTCTGACTTTTCCGTGTTGGGTCTTAGTGGAAACATCCAAAATTAAATGTAATATTCAAATGTCTAATATCCGGCCTTTCACTAACATCCCCTTGGGGAGGGGCTGGTCTCAAGGTTCTTAGAGATTAACTAGGAAAGATAATGTACCACGTTTCTCTGTGTTTGGGCCACAGAAGTTTCCCAGAGCAGCCATGCTCTTCCCCAGAGTTTCCAGTTGACAAGTCTTGGGATCTTTGGGATACTAGAGGTAGGAAGAGGACCAAACAGTAAGAGGGAGTCACCTCGCCTTCTGAAATGGAGACACGCAAAGGGGGGAAAGCCAATATACTTTTCAGAAATAGTTAAAGGAACAGAGACAGACTTTTCCCCCCACTGAAGAGAGTATTTGCAATTACCTGCTGAGGTACTAAGCTTTTTCACACGGGGTGTGAAAACACCCTACCCTGTAGGTAATTGCTGCATCTTCTAACTTACAGGCAAGAAC